AGAAGGAGAAGGAGAAGGAGAAGGAGAAGGAGAAGGAGAAGGAGAAGGAGAAGGAGAAGGAGAAGGAGAAGGAGAAGGAGAAGGAGAAGGAGAAGAAGAACAAGAAGAAGAAGAACAAGAGAGAAGAAGAAGAAGAAGAAGAAGAAGAAGAAGAGAGAAGGAGTCAGAGAGGATGTCAGGGTGTGTGTGTGCCTCTGTCTGAGCTCTCAGCAAACCCCAGCAGCTCCAGAAGAAAATCTTTTCGATAACTCGCAATAAACTGCCTTGAGACCCAACAACAGAGACTGCAGAGCTTTCTTTGGAAGCTCGGGTTGGAGGAGAGACTTTTCCACCACACGGAGCCCCTGAACCAGGCCGGGGCTCTGACAACTCTGGACGTCTCATCGTCCAACCCCTGCTCGGGCAGCATCACCTGGAGCAGCTGCCCAGGCAGGTTTGGGGTACCTCCAAACGAGAATTACACACCTAGAAAGGTTGTTGTCCCCTTTGATAAAACCTAAGGCCACTGATGAACAGTATCAATAAATATTTAGGCTGTGGTTTCCTTCATCTTCCAGTTTTCTGAGGCTCCTGAACTCTGGAGGACACCTTACAGACCTGTCTAAACTCCAAACTACTCAAATAACTGGGCCAAAACCTGCAGGCATCCTATTAGTGATTTTGGTGAAAATATTTAATGATAATTTAAAAATTGTATCAATACAAGAAGTACGTGCACAGCAAGCTGAAGCAGTTTAAAAATTCTTAACCCTTCATTTTCAGCAAAGTTATTATTATTAAAATAATGATTAATGTTCCAAGCAGAGCAAGGTTCCAAGGATGGACCCAAGACTCTCAGTTTCCTGTTTTTGGTGCGTGGGAATGGAATTGTCATTGATTCCTGCTTTGTGTTTTTAGACTCCTGCAGCTCCGGGGCACCTCCCGTCCTCTTCCTCCTCTCCTTCCTCCCTCTCTCCCCTCGGTGAAAACCAGCCCCACCCAGTGTTATAGCCACATATTATAATATTGGCTTTTCACAAATATTAAAATGCATTTGATGTGCGTGGCGTTAAGTAACTTTGCTATAAATACACAGTTTGCACTTCTGCTGCTAATGAAGCTCGGTGCAGCAGCTGGGATCAGTGGGCTGTGTTAAACGCCTGCTGGGATGGGATAACACCCCATGGACACAGGCTGAGCACACCTGCACGGATCTGCAGCCACCAGCACCCACTGAACGCAGCACCCACCAGGGCCCAAGACCTGGAGGTGATAAAGGGAGGGAGCCAAAACCACAGCCAGGAAACACGGGTGCTCCAAGGAGGCGGCCCCGAGGAGGGGCATGGAAGATAGTCCTGAATATGTAAAGTATTATGTATATGCATGAGGTACATGAATATGCAAATCGATGTAATTGGAAAGGTATTTAAGGTGACGCTCTGCTCTGGCTGAGTGCCATAACCACCTTTGCTCTGTGCTCCTTTGCTCCATTGTCCTTTTTAAACTTTTAAATGTTCACAGGACAATGACCGTGTTTCCCACATAACCTCTGCTCTGTGCTCCTTTACTCTATTGTCCTTTCTTAAACTTTTTACATTTTCACACAAGTGTCCGTGGTTTTCACACATTGCTGCCAGGTTTGGTGCTTTCGAAGACTGCCGCAGCTCTGGGGCATCTCCTGCCCTCCCTCCTCTCCCTCCTCCTCCTCCTCCTCCTCTCCCCTCGGTGAAATCAGGTTGGGGTTCTGACCCCGGGGATTGATTTGGGTTCTGGTCCCTGGGAATTGGGGTTCTGACCCCTGGGGATGGACTGGGGTTCTGATCCCCAGGGATTAAGGTGCTGACCCCTGGGAATTGGGGTTCTGACCCCCTGGGATTGATTTGGGTTCTGACCCCTGGGGATGGATTTGGGTTCTGACCCCCAGGAATTGGGGTTCTGACCCCCGGGGATTGATTTGGGTTCTAATACCTGGGAATTGGGGTTCTGACCCCCGGGAATTGGGGTTCTGACCCCCGGGGNTAATACCTGGGAATTGGGGTTCTGACCCCCGGGAATTGGGGTTCTGACCCCCGGGGATTGATTTGGGTTCTAATACCTGGGAATTGGGGTTCTGATCCCCGGGGACTGATTTGGGTTCTGACCCCCGGGGATTGGGGTTTTGACCCCTGGGGATGGATTGTGGTTCTGACCCCCGGGGACTGATTTGGGTTCTGACCCCTGGGAATTGGGGTTCTATCAGGCAGGTCCTGCCTTTCACAACTGCAAACCCCCCAGACCCACCCCAGAGGAGCTGGGCCATTCCCATTCCCGAGTGTGGCCCTGAAGGGGTAAATGGGGTCCTGGAAGAGAAAGAGAATCCTCAGGGAATAAAAGGGGTCCTGGAAGGGTAAATGGGTTCCTGAAGCATAAATGTGCCCCTAAAAGAGCAAACGGGGTTCTGAAATGGTGAGTGATGTCCTGAGGGGCAAATGGGGCCACAAGTGGGAAATGAGGTGCAGAGGAATTTCTCATGGAACAAGGACGTGCCATCCTTGGTGGTATTTCTTTGCAGGAACTGGACAACCCTGGCCTGCAGATTACAGAGTTACTTTAAAGTATTTAGGACATCCTTGAGAAGACAATGAGCTTTGTACAAACACAGTGGTCAGTGCTGGACGCTGGGAACTGCCACGTCCTAGAACCTGATCAGACCCTTGCAGTGTAACAGCCAATCTGTGACTTGTATATGTAATTATATTACATTAGCCAATGAATATTAATTAGCCATTGTATTATGGAAGGCAATAAAGGTATAAAACATGCATAAATGAGGCCGTAAAGGAGGATGACATCCAGCCATACTGGTTTGAGTGTCATTACTCCAGCTGGCTCCCCGTGGGACCCTCTTCAGGGTGGTCAAGAGTAAAGGGGTTCAAGGAGGGGCGTTCCCACTCCCACAGGACATTCCCAGTCCCGAGGGATGGTCCCATGGCTCAGCCCCTCCGAGGGAGTCTGGGGTCCCAGCAGGGCCAGGAACCAGCAGAGCCCCCAGACTCATTTCTGGGCCCTCCCCTGAAAATGGGGATTGACCCCAGTGTTACAGCAGAGGGGGTAGAACTCCCCCCGAGGGAGGATTAATTAATGATTAATTAAACCTGGCTGCTCCACCTGAGCCTGTATTAACCCATCGAGCTGGCACCCCAAAACCTGCAGCAGGACCCTCCCACCTGCAGCACCCCACACCTGCAGCACCCCACACCTGCAGCACCCCACACCTGCAGCACCCCACATCCACAGCACCCCACACCTGCAGCACCCCCACATCCACAGCACCCCACACCTGCAGCACCCCACACCTGCAGCACCCCACACCCGCAGCACCCCACACCC